CAATCACAAATCTGTTGATTATCGCAGGACTATAATATAAACACTGATAATCTACCAAGATCTGGTCGACCTAGAAGATCTCAACTCAGTGTGATATGAAGTAGACAGTGAGAGAGACGATGCACAACAAATCTCTATTTCGCTACTTCTAACGTAACGCTAAATATATAAATAGTTGTCGGGATTATAGTGATGACATATTATCTGCGCCGTGTGCCGGTGGCCATCGACACAATTGTTGCGCATGCGCGGCGGCGCGTCATGTGTTACTGCATTTCGTACAGCAGTTCAAGGCTTTATTTTCCAGTATAATCTCGTGTTTTCCCCACTTTTACGACACTTACCGTTATTGCTTGAGTAACAGCTTGGAGTAATCATTCTGATTCATCATGAATCTCATAATGATCATGAAATTCATCATAAATCTGAAAATGAAGATCAGAATGATTCTGATTCTGATAACCTGTCAGAATGATTTCCTACTCCAAGGACAGCAACTGTCTAGAGTAACGATAAAATGTCTAGAACCTTCATATTCAGCAAACACGCTCGTTTTGCTATAATATTGGACAAGAGCCGGCTTTGTTTCAAGAGCCAAGATTCTGAAAATATTTTTAGTTTTCCTCTAGGCTGCGGAGTTCTCTAGTTATGCGAGTACGGACTAATTCGGCTGAACAACTATATATATATAGATACAGAGAGAGAGAGGGGAGAGAGAGAGAGCGAGAGAGAGAGAGAGGCACGAAATCAGTGATCATCATCTAGATGATGTCCGATCAATGGTAATGCGCTCTAATTCGAAAGGCCGGATAGACCATGAACTGGTGAAGCAACAGGAATGTACATCTAGAAATTGGCGAGATGTATTGAAGCGAGTTGTTGTTGTCATCATGTTGCTTGCAGCAAGGGGTTTGGCATTTCGTGGCAGGGATGAGACGATCGGTTCAACACATAATGGCAACTTCTTGCGTGTTCTGGAAGCCATTTTCCAGTTCGATCCATTCTTGGCACGGCATCTGACACAGTATGGGAATACTGGACGTGGTCATGTTTCTTACCTGTCATCTATAGTATGTGACGAATTGATTGCACTTCTTGCGCAGAAAGTTCTCGATAGCATTGTTTGGGAAGTAAAGGCTGCCAAATACTATTCAGTCTCCGTTGATTCAACACCTGACATTACATATTGCGATCAATTAACGGTTGTACTGAGCTATGTCACTCCTGCTGAGCCTGTGGAACGATTTCTTCAGTTCATACCAATTTAAAGCCATACTGGTGAGAGCTTGGGAACAGTACTGATATCTCTATTGGACAAGTTAGGTATCGACCTTGCTTATTGTCGTGGTCAATCATATGACAATGCCTCAAACATAAGTGGCATATACAATGGTATGCAGGCATTCATCAATGGCAAGAACAAATTAGCCGTGTACATACCTTGTGCAGGACATTGAATTTAGCTGGGAAATCAGCTGTGGACTGTTGCCCTGTTGCTATTCGCTTCTTCGA